CTCCTCCTCCTCCTCCTCCTCCGCCTCCTCCTCAGGCCACTGGACTGACTGGTGGGCCAGGCTCAATGAACCCATCTGGGACGCAGAGAGACAGACTAATACTGTATGTCATCCTTGGAGGCTGGCGTCCGACCCGAAAATATCGTGTACCCACCTTGGAGTGGTGTAGCCAGAAAGCGCCCGCCACGACGCATGTACTATTAGATTTCTCGTGCGCGCGTCGCCCCTGGAGAGGCGACGCACAGATAGTACGAGTATGTTGGGGTGATGCAGACCACCGGCCCCGATCCGCCTTGCGTGCAGGGGCTGAGGGTGGGGCTGCAGGAATTCACGGACGGAGGGTGCTTCCTTTTCCAGATGTGGCTCTCGCCTTAGCGCCGCGCGCACTCGTCATAACAGTTTGCAATATTTTCACGGATGTTTGGCGGCTCCTTTTCAACATGTGGCTTTCGTCGCCGCGCACATGTTTCTTAAACCTTCAAAGCCGCTTCATGGGTTCTCATGGTTAATGTCCCAGAAACAATGTTTTGGCACGATGTCGGACTGACAAGGCGCAACATGTACGTGGATTCGCGGCGTTGAGGCCCCAGAAACGGTCTTCCAGCACGAGTCAGGATAGTCAAGACGCAGCAGTAACGTTGATTCGCGGCGAGAGTGGCCTACCAAGAGGGAGCTTGGATGGACAATGTATTGCCATATCGTTGATGAGTCTTGGGTTTGCACTGGTCCTGCTCCTTCTCCTCTTCCTCCCTCCTGCATACCCGGCTCCTCCTGCCCCAGCTCCTGCTGCTTCTCCTTCGACTCTTCCTCCTCCTCCTCCTCCTCCTCCTCGTCCTCCTCCTCCTCCTTCTCCTACTCTCGGTGTTTCAAGTACGTGGTTATGAAGGATGGGGCCCTGAAAATAGGAACGGGATCCCAGGTACAATTTGCACCGTATGAGACCTCCCGTCCTTAGGGCCCCATCTCTCAGGCGACCTCTTTGAACTGCCGATCCTCCTCCTCCTCGTCCTCTGTTCGCATGGCTGGTCATAGCAAGCCGCATAACTTCTGATATTGGAACGTCACGTGCTCCATCGCAAAACCATCGAAACCCAATAAACCCAGGGCACCCTGGCGGCAAGCAAGGTGTTTCTTGGCATGGGCTTCCACTGTGAAAAGAGTACTTGTTACGCAGCTCGGTCTTGGCAATCTGCGAGCCCCAGGGACGCTGGGGGCAACCCTGGGTGGCCCAGGGCCCGAGCACGGACCCGGGAGGCCGACTTGAGGAAACGATGGTATTAACCTTGAGCTCGCCATCGCTCGGACGTCCATTCCTTGTGCGTTTTTCGGCTTCGCGCGTGCCTTCTCCGCAAGGCGAACAACAATGCTCCTCGATGTGACTACCTGCCAGACCACCCCAACCCAACGAGAGGACCCGAATTTCGGGTTTGGGGGGGTTGCGGGCTTCATACGTATGTGTTTTTTTCGCTGTTCCCCAACACCCCTCCACTGGAAATGGATGGCAAATCGGGGCCTTTGGGTTGGGCTGGGGTGGTTTGGTGGGCGGCGACGATGGCCCCCGCCCGAGGAACAGTGCACACGTCCGAGCGATGCCAAGGGAGCCCGACCGAGCCAAGTATCGGGCCGTGCGCCAGTGGAGGTCGCTACCAAGGCGGGGGGGCGCCCCCTCCTCGAAGAGCAAAACGCCGCCTCCTTCGGGCCCCTGAGAAAACACCAGCTGCGAGCGAGGGGGGGAAGTGAGAAGGAGAAGGCCTTCTCAGGTGGGGGCGAAACTTCTGAGAAACCCTCGTGCCTTCTGATTTTTCCTGCATTCGGGGCAGACTCGGGAAACTTCTCAGAAGGCCGGGGAACTTCCGAGCCTTCGGAGAAGGACCGCCCCTTCTCACTTCCCCCGCTCGCTCGCCGCCGACCAGAGCCCAAACGTCCCAAAAGCCTGAGGAAATCAAATTCGGGGGGCACAAATGTGGGGTTAGGGCAAAGGGTGGGGTTGGAAGAAACATCGCTCCGAATGGCCCCTGGAAGAAAGAAACACGTTAAACGGGAGCATCCAGCTGGGCCCGCTCCCCAATTCCACCTTGGGAGAACCTTCCCTCTACAAACCCCGAAGCAACGGTACCGACACTGCTACTCCCAGGACGTTTCCTGGGGGTGCGTTCTGCCCAGAAGGTCGACGCGAATCTAGCTGCGGCGACGAGGGCCTCCCAGGAGGCCCGATGCGGCGAACACGGCGGACGGGGTAGCGGTATGGGTACCCGTTCCTCGTCTCATTGAATACACATCAGGGCCCAAACGCCCGAAAACCTCGTTCTAGTTCTAGCTTCAGGTCGGGCATATGTCCTCCTACAGGCGGATTCAGGGCGAAAAATCATCAACGGCCAACAACGCTGCAAAACCAGCCAAACGTAGTGAACTGTCGTCTCCGTACTATGTCTTTGGCTATCTTTGGATCATCCTCCTGTAGAGGGGCACGCCCGACTTCATTCTAGCTCTGATCCTGGAATCTCGATTTCCAGGAGCTGGTGACCCCCCCTAGGAGGAGGAGGAGGAGGAGGAGGTGGTGGAGGAGGAGGAGAAGGAGGAGGAGGGGGAGGAGGAGGGGGAGGGGGAGGGGGAGGACGAGGAGGAGGAGGAGGAGGAGGAGGAGGAGGAGGAGATAGCGACCCCCCCCGCGGCTCTGCCCGACGACGTTCGGGAGCCCCGTCCTCCTCTCGTCCCCAGGGGCCAGCCGGCCACTTCTCGGGAGGCAGGGGTCGGGGGGAGCCAAGGTGGACGAGCGCGTTCCGCTACTCGCACAGGAACTACTCGCACATGGCCTGGATCCGCCGCGGAAAATCGACGATGCATTCCATCAAGGCAGACATTCGTGTTTCGGACGCTTGCGAGTAGGCACTCTGCGAGCAATGGAACGCGCTCGGTCCTCCGACGGGCGGATTTTGGGGGAACGGATGCGAAAGGAGCATAGTCAAAACAAGATGCGCCAGACATTGTCAGACCTAGTGGGAAAACCGTCCCCGGACTGTTTTTGGACATTCCGCCTGTAGAGGGACATGCTCGACTTAAATGAAGGGGCCCAAAGACACACAAATAAATACACACAAATAAACGGATTCCCCATATTCTTTCATATTTTCTGGATTTTTGTCTTCCCCCCCACTTCCCATATTTTCCAATATTTTCTGGGGAATCGACGATCAATTGTGTCTGTGTTTTTCCCCTCCTGATTAAAGCCAGGGGGGCTCTCTTTCTTGTCTTCTCTTTCGGCGCAGCCGAAGGCCGTGCGCGGCCGGAGGGATGTGACGATCGAGGGTCCAAGAGCGTGCAGAGTGCGCGACGCGGGGATCGATCCGCGTCCACTGCCTGGGAACCGACGTCCTGGGGAACCAGCGGGCGGTGGACATGTGAAGGGGCCCTGGGACACACACACACACAATAAATACACACAAATAACAGGATTCTCAATGTTTTCCCATATTTTCTGGGTTTTTGTCATTCCCCCACTTTTCATATTTTCCCATATTTTCTTGGGAATCGACGATTAATTGTGTCTGTGTGTGTTTTTCCTCTCCTGAACATGGATATATTTTGGCCCCCGGGGGCCAAACTGTATCCACATCCACCGCCTGCGGAGGTCCGCGAGAATCGACCCTCCAGGCGGTGGTCATTTACACATCCCCGCCTCGGAAGCTGACATCTTGGGTTATGGCGCTGTGCAAAGCTGTGAGAAATCCTGAGCTCTGGTTGAGAGCCATGGCCTCAGTGACGAAGGACGGCATGACTGGACCAAACAACAAACGACACCACCCCACCTACGGCCTCACGGGGCTCAGCGTATACAAAACAAATATGGCGTGGACTTTTGCTTGGCATACGCTACGGCCCCCCGCTGAGCCGTAACCCAACATGGATGGCCGTAGGTGGGGTGGTGTCGTTTGCGTTTTGGTCGAACGACGTCGACCTCATCCAAAAACACACCAACCAAGGGAACCTTCTAAAGTGCCGTTTTTACATTTCGCATCTTCCAACGATTCACCATTCAAACCTCGCGCGCCTCGAATCGGCGGCGAACAAGGGGGGGGCAGTGAGAGGGAGAAGGCCTCCTGAGAAGGCGGCGGGACCTCTCAGAAGCCCTCTGGTCTTCTGAGGGGCTTTCCATGTCTTCTCGGGGGCGGCCAAGAGGGGGGCGTCCAACACCCCCCCTCTTGGCCGCCCCCGATCTTCGGGGCAGGCTCAGGAAACTTCTAAGAAGGCCGGGGGACCTTCCGAGCGTTCTTCGGGCCGGGCGAAAGGAGGGGATAGCAAAGGGGGGGTTTGAGAATCAGCTCGCGTAGCTGATTTCCCCGGCGCCGGGAGGCACCCATGTATCGAGGAATGGACCAGGCGGCGGGGCCGAAACCAGCTGCATGCAGCAGATTTCGTAGCCCCCCCTTTCCCTATCCCCCCCTTTCGCTCGGCCCAAGTTCTGAGCAGGCCTTCCTTCTCGCTTCCCCCCTGGGCTCGCCGCCGACCGGACGCCGCGGCAGTGCCAAGGGCAACCCTGGGACCGGCCCGACCTGTGGCGCAAACTCGGCGGTTGGCAGACATGCATCGCCGCCACGGGCATTGTCGGGAGCTGGCCATCGCTCGGACGTCCATTCCTTGTGTTTTTTCTCGGTTTCGTGCGTGTTTTTTTCGCCAAATGATCAAGGATGCTCCTCGATGGTCCGCGCCGAAGGAAAAATGCACACGTCAGAGCGATGCCAAGCGCCATGGGCATTGTCGGGAGAGGCCAAATCCAAACGGAGTACGCCCAGACGGCGGCCGGGCACTCCGTAGGGCCTGGCTCGGTATGGAGTTCGCACCCTATCAGAAGAAGGACAAGTCCAAACCTCGCCATCGCTCGGACGTCCATCTCCCGTACATTTTTCGGTTTCGTGCGTGTTTTTGTTTGCTCGATGGTCCAGGATGGTCCTCGATGGTTCTCGCCGAGAAAAATGCACACGTCCGAGCGATGCCAGGCCAGACGGAGCAAGCCCAGGCGGAGACCGCCCACTCCCCAACGACTCGCTCCGTTGTGGACTTGGCGTCCGGTCGGGCGTGCCGTCCTGCAGGCGAGTTCTGGAAGACAAACGAACTCATAGCCAAACACATGCTCGCAACTAGTTTTAGGTCGGGCCTGTCCCCCTACAGGGGGATTTAGGACGACAGATAAGAAATACAAACAAATGCTCAAACGATGCCCACGAATACTAAAAAATAGTCCCCAGACTATCTTTTGACTATCTTTGAATACTCCCCCCTGTAGAGGCACAGGCCCGACTCAAGAATCTAGTCAGAGCATGGCCGAGACGTCGTCCCCAAAGTGTGCAGAAGGACCCGCCCGACCCACACTCCTTGGCGCCCTCCGACGCTGGCGCACGCGGCGCATCTGAACGCAAAACCCGAGCGAAAATCCGTTTCCGGGGAATCCTGCGCGTAAGAAACCCATACGCGGATGGGTGGCCGGCGACTTCCCGGACGCCACTCGGGGAGAGAGGAGAGCAGTAGTCATGTTGTTTCACTGTTGGGGATCTGAGGGGGCTTGCAAAAGTTCTCGGGCGTTGCATTGTGCTTGTGTTCCTGCTGTTTGGACGCCCGGAATGGGTACGGAAAGAATGGGTACAATGCCCAACAGCAAGTGTTGTCCCAGACCAGCAGCGGCCTCTGTTGGGCAGGCGGCCTCCTCTGTCTCGAATGGACGCAGGCCGCGGCGGCGTGGACAGCGAGTCCTGTTCTAGAGGCCTCCTCGATGGGGTCGGAGTAGGTGGGGTCGGAGGATGGCGCCGCATCGACGATGCATCGGCGATGCATCGGCGATGCACCAGCGATGCATCGTCGACGTCAGCGATGGATCGGCGACGTCGACGTGAAGCAAATCGGGCTCCATATCGAGCCGCATCGGCGATGCATCGGCGATGCGGCGCGCTCCTTCGACCCCATCTACTCCGACCCCATCTGGGAGGCCTGGATGCTCAAAAGGAGCAAGATCCGCTGTTGGGCATTGTACCCACTCCTTCCGTGCCCAGTTCGTTCGTGCAGAGCGCAGGGCCGGCCCACACTGGCCATCGCTCGGACGTCCTATCGCTGTGCTTTTTTCGGCTTTGTGCGTGGTGTTTTTTCCCCAATGATCAAGGATGCTCCTCGATGGTCCTCGCCGAGAGAAAAATGCACACGTCCGAGCGATGCCAAGTGCAGGGCGGCGGGCGGGCCGGCGCCTGGCACCCAGCTCCCCTGCTTCTGGTCCCGGAGGCGCATGCTGCGGTCGGTGAAGGCGGCCCTCGCGAGGGGGCGCGCGCGGCGTCCCCTCGCGCCGCACGGCGCCCCCGCGGCACTCCCTCGCGCGACACCCCGTGTGCACGCTACGGGTCGCACCTGCTCGAGCTCTCCTCCTCCTCCTCCTCCTCCTCCTCCTTCCTCCTCTCCTCCTCCTCCTCCTCCTCCTCCGCCTCCTCCTCCTCCTCCTCCTCCCTCCTCCATCCCTCCTCCTCCTCCTCCCTCCTTTCCCCCCTCCTCCTCCTCCTCCTCCTCCTCCTCCTCCTCCTCCTCCTCCTTCTCCTTCCCTTCTGCGGGGCCTCTCCTCGGAGGCCCCCGTCGCCACCGCTGGGTTCGCCCCGGCACCCTGGTCAGAGCGCGCCCCGGGGGAGGTCCGGGGAGCAGCGGTGTCGGTGTCGTTTGGCTTCCCCGCTCCCCCTGCCCTCCCCTCCTCCTCCATCGCGCCTCCTCATCAGGAGCCCAGGACCGATCACAACGGTGCTTTGACCGAAGTGGCGTTCTCAGACGAACCACGGAACGAACCACAACGTTTGAAATCAACGTTTTGAGCGAGATTGGTGCCAGACAACACGAGCAACGAAACAATGCGTTTTAGGCAGAAGCGACAACGACACGAAACAAACACGAAGCACATGGAACGGCACACATAACAAAGGCCCCAACCTAGCCACATAGCGTTGTGGTCGGTCCTTGTAAATAACTGGTCGCCCGAGGGGGAAGAGGAGGATGACAAAGAGGAGGACGAGGACGACGACGAAGGCGAGGAGGACGAGGACCAAGCGGACGACACGAAACGGGAGGAGGGGGAGGGCGACGAGGACGAGTACCTGACCAGGACTACCACGACGACGACGACAGCGACGAGGACGACGGCGACGAGGGCGAGACCACGAGGACGACGACGGCGGGTACGAGCACGAGGAGGGCGAGGAGGAAGAGAGCGAGCAGGGGGAACAGGACGAGCAGGATGGTCATGGTGAGGAGGAGAGCAAGCAGAGGGAGCAGGACGAGCAGGATGATGATGATGATGAGGAGGAGGAGGAGGAGGATGAGGAGGAAAGGAAGGAGGAGGAGGAGGAGGAGGAGGAGGAGGAGGAGGAGGAGGAGGAGGAGGAGGAGGAGGAGGAGATGGAAGAGCAGAAATCTGATCAGGAGGACGCAGGGGAACGTGGGGCGAGGGTGAGGACAGGGAGGTGTAGGAGTACCGAGGCGACAACGACGTCGGTGGCGTCATCCCTGCACGCGTGGTGTTCAGGACGACCCCCCGGTGGTAGGGATGGCGCATGGGGCCGGTCGCGAAGGGCACAGTGGACCACTTCTGCAAATTCATGCGCAGTTATCCTCCTCTTCCTCCTCCTCCTCCTTTTCCGCCTCCTCCTCGTTGTCATCCTTCCACTACTCCTCCTTCGGCGCCTGACCGCATCGGAGACCTGATTTCCGCGCCCTGGGGACAAGCGGCGGCGGCGGCAGGGCCCGCCAATAACACAGCAGTTCGCGAGCTCCAGATGTCTGCGCACCAGCATGCCAGACCCCGCGAGCGCCGGAGTAGCCCCTGAACACAGTGGCCTGCGAGCAGCACAGCAGTCCGTAAGCAGAGCTAGAGCCTGCGAGGATCACAGCAGTCTAGGGGGAGCACACCGCAAGCGCTGCGGCCGCACCTCTCTAAAGGCCGCGGCGCGCGGGCGGGGGTGAGGGGGGGGGAGTTGCGCGAGGGAGGAGGGGGCATGCGTTCCGGGGGGAGCGGCGGCCATACCGCCCGCTACTCGGCTCCAGCAAAGGTCTCCCTGGAGGGTCTCACGGGGAAGTATGGACAAGTGCACGCAGTGACCGCGTGACCTCATACCCTCAAAGTGGCAGCACTCGGGCCCCAGGCCACCGACGATGACCTCCAAGCGATACTGGAATGACCCCATGGCCCAACATGATCCCCGACAAGGCATCTTGAGAGTCTCAGGCTGCCTATGCGATGGCCCGTCTGGTGAGCAGCGGGCGTTGCCGAGACGGCCCCATGGCCAGAAGATGGGTCCAGGGACATCAAGGGCGACTCCAAACTGACCGAGCAGCGCCCGCACAACCCAAACATTCATGCGAGTGCCATCTGAAACGACCTGGCGACAAGTCCACGATGCACCCAATATCTTTCGCAATTCGACGCAGTGGGCGGTCCCGCGACCTGCATATCATGTGAAATTGATTTCAAGATATGACCCAACATGGCTTCAAACGGTCCTGACGAGGGATCCACAACGACAGGACGGCGCGCGCATCATGGCATCAAGACGGTCCCACCACAGCAGGAGTCCGTGAACTTATGAACCCCAACTTGCGTCCAAGCGATCCTAACACGGCGGCATCCCTCGAGGGCCTTGGAAATTGGTTTACCCTACGTTTGATGGGTGGGACTTTGACCTGGCTGAATCAAACTTGTAATATTAAGAAGGACTATACCGATGGCGGATTTTTCCGGGCCGGGTTTGTGCAAACATGGCATCTGCGACTGTCCTTAGTACAGGATCAGGGAAAGGCGACACCAACACCAACAGGGCGAGGAGATGCGAGGAGGCAAGGGGAAACGCCCCGGTGGTGTGGCCCTCAGTGGGCCCTGGAAACGACAAGGCCGTTTTTTTACCGGTTCCGTTTTGCCGTTTTTTTGCCAGTTCCGACGCCGTTGTTTTACCGGCTCCATTGCCGTTTTTAACCGGTTCCGGCTCTGGTTCCAATCCTGGAGCAATTGTTTTGCCGTTCCCGGTCTCGTTTTTTTGCCGTTTCCATTTTCAAGGGGCATTTTTTTGGAAACGGTGAAAAAACGGCCCTGCCGTTTCCGGGGCCCACAGAGGTGTGGCCCCCCCTCTCGCTCGAGACGTCCCTGGCCTCCAGCTCGGAGAGGCACCGTGGGCCTCCTCGCTGGCATCGTGGGCCCCCTGGCGGTGTGTGGTCTCGCTTCTCTCCCCCCTCCGACATTGTCGGGCAGTCCAGCCTGCAGCGCCCGCCGAGCTCTGTGCTCGGGCTCCGAGCACGGGGCATGCACAGTTTTCTAAAACATCGACGACAGTTTTTAGAAAACTGTACATGCGAGCGACCTTTCATCCGATGCTTCTGTGCAGTGCCATTTCGGCTGAAGAGCCCCTGGAGGGCGAAAGCTACCTGCGCTTGGCACACAAGACACATCAGCATCCGAGCAGGCTTGATAGTCCTTTCGATCGGGGGGGTGGGACGTGGGGGGCAAATTCGAGGATGGGAACCCTCCGGCGCGCCAGGGCCCATTTTCGCGGGGAAACCAGAAAGTACCGATGTCGCTACTCGCAGGACCCCTCTCGGGGTGCGTTCTGGCCGGAATCTCAAGGCGAATCCAGCGGTGGCGACGAGGGCCTCCTAGGAAGCCGACCAAGGGGAACCACGGGGCCAGGGTAGCAGAATGGGTACCTTTTTCCTCCCCCTTCCCCCCCCCAATTATGGCTCCTGCCTGAAATTAGGTTGGGCATGACCCCCTACCGGCGGATTTTGGACGACAAATAGAAACTGATCAAGTAATACCCCCAAAATGTTAGATAATTATTCTGGCGAAGGTCCCAACCATCTGCAGTTGTGGGTACCGTAATTGTGAATATCTGCTTCGGTGAAGCTTCCTATGGGGCCACGAAGCGCTGCACTGGGCGGGGGGGAACGCTGTACTGTGTGGGTGGTGTGCCGAATTGGGTTTCAGGGACGCATGCGGACGGTCCCACTGAGGGCTTCGGTGGAGCTCCCTAGCTTCGGTGGAGCCCCCTATGGGGCCACGAAACGCTGCACTGCGCGGGTGAAAATGCCAAATTACATTTCCCGGACGCATGCGGACGGTGGAACTGGGGCCCTGGGTGGAGCGCCCTATGGGGCCACGAAGCGCTGCACTGGGTGGGTGAAAATGCCAAATTGGGCTTCCAGGGCGCATGCGGACGGGGGCACTGGGGCTTTCGGTGAAACTCCCTATGGGGCCACGAAGCGCTGTACCGGGTGTGCGGGACGCATGCGGACGGTAGCACTGGGACCTTCTGTGGGGCTCCCTATGGGGCCACGACGCGTTGTACTGGGCGTGCGGGACGCATGCGGACGGTAGCACTGGGACCTTCGGTGGGGCTCCCTATGGGGCCACGGAACGCTGTACTGGGTGGGTGAAACGCAGGGGGGAGGGGGAGGAAGGCAACGAAACGCTGTATTGGGTGTGCGGGACGCATGCGGACGGTAGCACTGGGACCTTCGGTGGAGATTATATGGGGCCACGGAACGCTGTACTGGGCGTGCGGGACGCATGCGGACGGTAGCACTGGGACCTTCGGTGGGGCTCCCTATGGGGCCACGAAACGCTTTACTGGGTGGGTGAAACGCAGGGAGGAGGGGGAGGAGGGCCACGAAACGTTGTACTGGGTGTGCGGGACGCATGCGGACGGTAGCACTGGGACCTTCGGTGGAGCTCCCTATGGGGCCACGAAACGCTGTACTGGGTTTGCGGGACGCATGCGGACGGTAGCACTGGGACCTTCGGTGGGGCTCCCACGAAACGCTGTACTGGGTGGGTGACACGCAGGGAGGAGGGGGGGAGGGCCACGTAATGCTGTACTGGGTGTGCGGGACGCATGCGGACGGTAGCACTGGGACCTTCGGTGGAGCTCCCTATGGGGCCACGAAGCGCTGTACTGGGTGTGCGGGACGCATGCGGACGGTAGCGCTGGGACCTTCGGTGGGGCTCCCTATGGGGCCACGAAACGCTGTACTGGGTGGGTGAAACGCAGGGAGGAGGGGAGGAGGGCCACGAAACGTTGTACTAGGTGTGCGGGACGCATGCGGACGGTAGCACTGGGACCTTCGGTGGAGCTCCCTATGGGGCCACGAAGCGCTGTACTGGGTTTGCGGGACGCGTACGGACGGTAGCACTGGGACCTTCGGTGGGGCTCCCTATGGGGCCACGAATCGATGTACTGGGTGGGTGAAACGCAGGGAGGAGGGGGGGGAGGGCGAAACGCTGTACTGTGTGCGCGAGACGCATGCGGACGGTAGCACTGGGACCTTCGGTGGACCTCCTTATGGGGCCACGAAGCGCTGTACTGGGTGTGCGGGACGCATGCGGGCGGTGCCACTGGGACCTTCGGTGGGGCCCCCTATGGGGTCACGAAACGCTGTACTGGGTGTGCGGGACGCATGCGGACGGTGGAAAGGAGGGGGGAGGAGGAGGAGGAGGAGGAGGAACGCGGGACCGTCTCTTCAAAACGAGGACCCAACACCATAAACTAGCAAGAAATCGTCCCCAGACTATTTTTGGAGTATTCTTGAAAATTTCTCCTGTAGAGGGACACGCCCGACTTACGCCTAAAACGGCTCTCCGCAAGCGACGAGCATATCCAGATCCATGCCCTCGCGGCCTGGCCCACCGAGGCGCGAGGCACGATCCCGTGGATGCTCGGCTCCCGTGGACGCTCCCCCCTCGAGGCATCCGCGCAGCCAGAGGGCAGGCAACCCACCCCCGCAACGGCAACGTGAGCCACGGCCCGTTGGCGAGACGCAGAAGAACACGCACAAGCACAGCGTGCCCTCCTCGGAGACGCACGTCCGCCCCGAACATTCAACGCCCAGCACCTCATAGCATACGCAGTTCCGAGATCGGCACGGCCAGAAAGCGCCCGCCACGGAGCATCTACTGTGAGATTTGTCGGCGCGCAGGCGACGCACACATCCCAGACCCCCGACGCTTTGATTTTCTCACAACGTCGACCCCCAAATGTCTGGACCCCTTCCCCGGGACTGGTTTGGCGTCCCGATTCGTTTTGCACGGTCAGGGCCACCAGAGGCCGAAAAGTATGAAAGATCTCCCGTCGTGATTTTTTTTTACAACGCGAGGAGATCTGGGATAATCACTCCGGCAGAAGGTCGGCTACACGCAAGAGTGACCCTGGGTAAGAGTGACCTTTAGTGCGCGGCTTTTTGGGCGCCGCGGGGGGACCAAACACAAGCACGCAAGACGCTATCACCGCATCGCGTTCGGGGGTCGGGGGACCCCATTTGGCCCGCACCAAAGGTCACTCCGGCGAAAGGTCACTCTTACGTCTAGTCGAAGAAGCTTCCTCCTGCGTGCCGCCGATGGCGCCCGGCCCCCAGCGCGCGTCGGGCGTCCGCGGGGGCGTCTCGGTGCTCTGGGGTCCCGGGGGGCGCCCGGCGGCCAGCCGGCTGGCCGAGGCGCGCGGGGGGCGGCGGGGGCGGCGGGGGTCCGCATGGAGCGCGGACGCGGCGTCAGCGACCTCTGGGCGAAGGGGTCGGCATCGTCATCATCAGCAGCATCAGCATCGTCATCGTCATCGTCATCATCATCATCATCATCATCATCATCATCATCATCGTCATCGTCATCGTCATCGTCATCGTCATCGTCATCGCCATCATCACCGTCGTCGTCATCATCATTATCGTCATCATCATCATCGTCATCATCATCATCATCGCAATAATCAACATCATCAGCATGATCAGCATCATCATCAGCAGCATCATCACCATCACAATCATTATTCTTACTACTACTACTATTATGATGATGGTTATTCTTAGAATCATTATTCATATTAGTATAGTCTGCATAATCATCACCATCAGCATCATCGTCATCGTCATCATCATCATCATCATCATCATCATCATCATCATCACCATCACCATCACCATCACCATCACCATCACCATCACCATCACCATCATCACCAGCATCATCATCAGCATCATCATCAGCATCAGCAGCACCACCATCATCAATGTCAGCATCAACATCCTCATCCTCATTCAGCGTCAGCGACCTCTCGGCGAAGGGGTGGGTGGGCAAAGCAGTGCACAGTGAGAGAGAGGAGACAGCGAGAACCAGACCAGTTCAATAGAGGCCTCCTAGATGGGGTCCGAGTAGATGGTGCCGGAGGATTGCGCCGCATCGGAGATGAATAGGCGAAGTCAGCGACGCATCGTCGCCGACGGCGTGGAGAACACGTGGCTCCGCATCGAGCCGCATCGGCGATGCATCGGCGATGCATCGGCAACCCTCCGACCAATTCTACTCGGACCCCATCTGGGAGGCCTAGGACCAGACGTCTCACAAACTCCTCGGCTCTTCCGGCCGGAGCTGTGCACGCCGCTGTGCAGGGCCCGGACAGGCTGTGTTGTCCGGCGCATGGCGGAGAAGAAAGGACATGCAAGCATGTAGGAGGAGGGACCGACCGTCCTGGCATTCCTTGAGGCCTAACCATCGAATGTTCTTAGAATCCAGACATGCTCTCACAACAAATACACTGTTCTTAGAACATGCGCCCCATGTGTTCAACCACGCCAGTCTCAGCTAGAAATGCTCTAAGAACATTTTGCGCACACCACAAAAGTTTCTTGGAATATTATCAGGTGGGCCTATAGGCAAGCCAGGACGCTTCGCCACTGCTCCGAAGGCAGACGATGTCGAACGCGCAGGCGGGAGGCTGGGGCCGGCGGGGCGGGCGGGCAGGCGGGCGGGAGGGCTGCGCGGGGGGTGCGGGACAACGTTAGGGGGTGGGGAACCTTGGAACGTCAGGGCGGGGACCTTTCTTCTTCGGCTTTCCTCCTCCTGCTTCTCAATACCCTCTTGCTTCTCAGCAGCTCCTCCCTGCCGCACCTCCGACGTGTCGGCAGGGCGGGCCGGGCGTTTCGCCCGAGACGTCCTCGCCGTTTCAGATCCTGAAGCGTGACATTCTGCGAGCTGAGGGCGGGCGGGTCCGCATAGAGCGCGGCCTGCAGGCAGGTCTGAATTGGGTCGCATCGCGAAATCGTATCGGATCGGAACCGGACCGCATCACCAGCGAATCGTGCCGAATCGCATCGGCATCGGATCGCCGCGCCCTGCTCCGGCAGGCTCTGGCCGGTGCCGGTGAATCGAGCCGACTGGAATCGGAGTCGCGGCCCCAGCTGGCGAATCGAACCGCATCGAATCGGATTCAGGCGGAGGTTAGAGGCAGCAGCAGGGGGGGGCCCTTCGAACGCAGGGGGGACCTTCCTTCTTCGGATTTCCTCCTCCTGCTATTCAATCCTCCTCCTCCAGCTCCTCCTCCTCCTCCTCCTCCTCCTCCTCTTCCTCCTCCTCCTCCTCCTCCTCCTCCTCCTCCACACGGCTCCATGACGGCCCATGACGGCATCATGGCGGCATAAAAGCCCTTTGGACGCCTCAAGAGGGCCCGAAGAGAACACCCAAGAGGACTTCAAAAGGCCTGAACCATGGATTTACAGGAACAGATTGTTCGAATCAGTTCAAGATATAATGCTTCTCCGACTCCCATGACGCCGCCAAGATGAGTACCCCTCACGAGGCCCAGCGGGTCCCAGGGGCTCCAAAATGGACCGAAAAGCTGGGGGCACCTTGGGCCAGGAGCACCTCAAGCAATTGGCAACCCCCGAAGATAGCCTCAGGAGAGCCGCTGGACGGCCCGAGGAGGCTCCCAGACGGCTCAAGAGACCCACGAGACGGCCCCACAGGCCCTCAAGCTCAAGACGGCCCAGACAGGGGAAATCAGACTGGCCCCAAGGGTCGGGTGTTGCCAGCAGTGCCCCTGGTCCGAGGTGCCACCCCTCACGAGGCCCAGAGGGCCCCAGGGGCTCCCAACTCGAGCAAACAGCTGGGGGGCGCCTTGGGCCAGGAGCACCTGGAGCAACCTTTCGATGGGGGGCTCCCCCAAGGCAGCTGGAAGAGGCCCTCCCAGAGATGCATTGGTCTTCCAATTGGCCTCCACGAGTCATGTTGCCCCCACCGTGCTGAAGGACCAAGCTCCCAGAATTAATGTCGAGCGCCCCGAGAAGTATGGAAACAGTGCCGAACGAGTATCGCCTCCCAGGGCCCGACACGTGAAAACCCTCCAGTTTCGGTACCTGCTTGGTGTCGCAAGAATTTTTGGTGAACCAGGTTAAAAGACAGTCAACCCAGATAGTAAGGATGCGCGATAAGGATGCAAGGGCCTTGGACGCCTATGTCGAAGCGTTTCGAGCGGGGCGCGCCCAGCGAAAGCGGCGAAGGATGGACCGAGGAGGCAAGGATGCAAGGGTACCCTTGGGACGGTTGCCCATCCTTACTATGCGGGTTGACTGTAATTTGGCTCATCGCAATCCAAGAGACTTCTTGGAGGCATCCGGGCGGCCTGCGAGTCGGCCTGGATACCTCCCGACCCGAAACCAGCCTCCGAAAGCAGCAGGCGGGCGGACAGACTGCCCAAGACCACCCGAACGACTCCAGAGGGCCCAGGCCATCCCACGTCCGGCCCATGCGGCAGGCGAGAGAGCTCAAGCAACGCAACGGGCAACAACAACATGGCGACGAACTGCAAGACTGAGCGAACACACCGCTAACTTCAGGTCGGGCATGTCTTTCTGCAGGCGGATTCGTGAAGAACCATGAAATAACAATAAAATAGCCCAACATAGTCAAAAGAGTAAGGCAGGTCGTCACTATACTCTTTATCTTCACAATTATGGAATATTCTTTTTGTAAAGGGAGATGCCCGACTTGACGCTAACTTCGCGGCAAGGCCCGACCGCAAACGAGATCTCCAAACATGAAGTCAAGAACGGCTTCCCCACGCCGTGTAACACATGCAAGCCCCATGGCCTCCTCGAGGTCCCATGGCCTCCTCGAGAGCTGGGCCTCGCGCCCGGCGCTCGCCCATCAAGTGCTCCTCCTCGAGGTCCCTCTGCGGCAACTCACGGGAGCCTCCCTTGCCATCTTGTTGGCCCTTGCGAATCGACGCCGCTCGACGCTACTGCGAGGCCAATTGCGGCTAGATCGCTGCTATCTCATCGATTACCAGACCTTGTACAAGAAGGGGGAGGGGGAGGAGGCGGAGGAGGAGGAGGAGGAAGAGGAGGGCGAGGAGGAGGAGGAGGAGGAGGAGGAGGGAGAGGGGGAGAGGAGGACGAGGAGGAATAGGCCAGTCGACTCGAGTGCACTCTGAAGGCAGAGCTACGAGGGCACGCGAGGCTCCCACGATTTGCTGCCAGAGACGTCCCATCGCCTCCTCACGCCGTGCAGCAAGTACGAGGTCGGGCGTGTCCCCCTACAGGCGGATTTTGGGCGACAAATAGGACATACCACTAAAGACACGCAGCAATGGCAAACATAGTAAGACAATCGTCCCCACACTTTTTTATGCAATTTTTGAATAGTCCTCGTGTGGAGGGACGTGCCCGACTTAAAACAAGCAGGGCAAGCTCGTGGCGTGACGACTTCGGGGTGGTCTCTGATGGCGCCGCGGATCGTTCAACCTTCCACGATCGGCGGATCTCCGATGGCGCGGATCGTTCCATGCTGGCCGATGCAGTCAAAAACCCTAATAAGGACGCGCGGTAAGGACGCAAGACCCTTGGAAGCCGAAGTTGGGATTTTTGGGGCGGCGGACGACGAACACCTCAAGGACGCAAGAGCAAGGAAGAGCAAGGACGCAAGGGTACCCTGAGCGAAGTCGCGCGTCCTCATCAGGGTTTTTGACTGTACTGGTGGCATTCACGCTCGGGCCAAGAGCGTGCGGCGACAGACCGTGCGGTGCTTCGGAATCCCCAGACCTCACCGGCACGGCCCGTCGCCGCACGGCTTTTGGGGGCCGGGGGCCCACAAATCGCCCAAGGCGTCGTCGGAGAGCGCCCCGCGCGCCCCAAAGCCGTGCGGCGTCCGCCCGGATCCCCACTGACTCACCGCTGGAGGAAGAAGAAAGCTGGCTTCAAGTCGGGCGAAAAATGAGAAATACTCAAAACATGCCCCAAGAAGGTCAAACAAAAACAAAAAAATAGTCCCCAGACTATTTTTGGACTATTTTGTTGACTTTTTTTGGTTGGGAAAAATATGTTTCGTCGAAAACCCCCCTGTAGGGGGACACGCCCGACGTAAAGCTGGATCAACACAAATCTTTGGAGCTCCGTGCGAACTCCTGGGATCGGCGGCAGGCGCTCGGAGCGCGCCAGGGGGGGCCCCCAGCGCCGATCCAGGACATCCGCGCGGAGCGCCGAAACCTTGTGCTTATGCCATGGTTCGCCTTCGAGCCACACCGTGTGGTCACTGCACCGCTCGAGGTTTGAGGCAGTCCAGATAGATCTATAGGTCTGGAGTGCTCTTCTTCAGCACTCTGGAAGGTCAGGATTCCTCTCCCCCCCCCCTCCCTTTCTCGCCCCCCCGCGAGCTCGCGCCCAGGTGCGCGCCCCCGCGCTGCCGACCCACGCCGGCTCCGAGGCCTGGCCCCTGGCGTGCAGCACCTCGCTCCAGAGTCGCCTCCGCCTGTCCCCCCGGGGCCTCGGGGCGGCGCCCTCGGGGAGAGCCCGAGGCCACGGCGGAGGGGCGCCGAGGCTGAGCAGCGCAGCCCCCCGCCGTGATCTTTGTGCTTCGCGGCTCGTGGGGCGCAGAAGGACGTACTGCAGTGAGGGTCTTGACCTAAGGAACCCAAAAGAAGGAACGAGGCCCCTTTTCTCCACAAGTTAAACTTCGACTTCCGATCGAGAACATGAGGAAAACTTGAGGCAAGCTGCGAAACACTTCAGGAACGCGGAGCCCCTCCCCAACGAAAAGGGTTCCTTCTTCAGGGCCCCGACTGTAGTACTGGAGGTCCACCTTGGCGGCGCGCGTCCGACGCGAACATTAAAGTATGCTCACCTCGTAGCATGTCGTTTCCCGAGCGGGGTGGTCAGACAGCGCCCGTCACGACGCATGTACTATAAGATTTCTAGGTGCGCGCGTCGCCCCTTGGGGGGCGACGCACACACAGTACTAGGTCGGGCCTGTCCCCCTACAAGGGGATTTTGGACGAAACATGCACAATACCCCAAAAATACCCCCAACATATCCAAACATGGGCAGAACATCGTCCCCAGACTATGTTTTTACTATTTTTGAATGTTCCTCCTGTAGAGGGACAGGCCCGACTCAAACATAGTATTAGCATGTTGGAGTGACGCCGCCGAGCTCACATCGGCGGCGCGCCCGGGGGGAAAGGCAGAGGGGGCGGGCCTCCTCAAAGGCTCACGCGGCCTCTGGCCATCTCCCTCCCCATCGCTCGGACGTTCATTCCCTGTGCTTTTGTTCCGGTTTCGTGCGCGTTTTTTTCGCCAAATGATCCATGGATGCTCCTTACGAATCCCCGCCGAGAAAAAGTGCACACGTCCGAGCGATACCAAGTCTGCCCGAGCTCCAGGCCTCCTCCTAGGCCGCGGAGGGCTTCTCAGAAGACCGGGGGGTCTTCTGGGAAGCCTCGCCGCCTCCAGAGGAAGCCCGTCCAAAACTCACTGCCCCCCCCTCCGCGCGCCGCCGATCAGAGCCCCGGGAACTCTCGACGACAGAAGACCGATATCTCACTTTTTTTTCTGTTGATGGCCCTGGGAACCCCACAGACGCCCCCTCCCCAGAGAATCCGCCAAGACGGGAGGATGCGGGCACATCCGTTCAAAGCTCGGGGATCTCCTGACCCGGGTCAATCCAGACCCGGTCAGCAGGAAACCAACAACTGCAAAGCAGGAAACAAAATACTGCAACGCAGGTCTTCGCAGACCCGGGTCAGCCAATGTGCGCGGCCGCCTCGCGGCCACGAACGGCTCGCCAACCCGGGTCGGCCAGAGGGGGTCTTCGCAGGATCCTGCAGGATCCGGTGCCCTTGCTGACCCCCGTCTGCATTGACCCAGGAGGAGGAGGAGGAGGAGGAGGAGGAGGAGGAGGAGGAGGAGGAGGAGGAGGAGGAGGAGGAGGAGGAGGAGGAGGAGGAGGAGGAGGAGGAGGAGGAGGAGGAGGAGGAGGAGGAGGAGGAGGAGGAGGAGAGAGGAGGTCCATTTTTCACCCCTGTAGGATTCTTTTGTTGATCGCCCCGGGGCCCGAGGACGGCCCCCGGAGGCCGGGAGCTGCAGACGCTCTGCTCGACGCCAGGGCCTGGAGCCTCGGCCCCCTGCTCGTGCTGGCCGTTGAGCGACTGCTGCCCCCCCATCTTTTCTCGTATTTTCTGGGCTTTTATCTCCCTCCCCCTGCTTCCCATATTTTCCAATCTTTTCTGGGGAATCGTAGGACCTGGAACCTCGGCCCCCTCCTCCTGCTGGCCGTTGAACGACTGCTGCCCCCCCCCCCTCTTCCCACAGGACGACTGCTTAGGTCGGGCGTGTCCCGCACAGCCTAAGAGTCCGAACGCTTGTCCACCGCCTGCTGCGATTTTTTCGGCTACATGCAAGAGCGACCCCAGGCAGGAGTGACCTTTATATAGGGGGGCCACATGCGAACCCTACCCCTACCCCCCCCCCTCAGAAAGCGTGGGGGTAGGGGTAGAGTTCGCATGTGGCCCCCGATTATAGTGCGCGGCCAAGAGGGGCGCCTTTGTAGGGGAGCGGAGAGGGGCATAAACATAACAACTCGGAGGTCAGCACGGATTTCTTGGATCGGCGCTGGACCCCCCCTCCCTGGCGCGCGGGGCGCGTCAAGGGCGGCGCTGGAGGCGCCGCCAGGGGGCTCCATCGCGGATCCGAGAAATCCGCGCGGACCTCCGAATTATTATGTCTATACAATTTTTCGTTTCTATTTGGGGAAAACGCGGGGCGCGAAAGCCACTGCTATCGCATGGCCCCAACGGGCCGGCACCACAGGTCACTCCGGCGAAGGGTCAGTCTTACGTGTCGACGATTTTTTCGTGACGTGGACCCCCGTACAATAGGAGCTCGACCAGAAGAAACCTTCCACAAGAAGCCCAACCCTGAGACCCCAGGACGTACACGAATATTTGGCGTGGGACGTCACGCCTTCCACGGCAACACCATCGAAACCCAAGAAACTCAGGGCACCCTGGAGGCAAGCAGGGTGTTTCTTGGCATGGGTTTCCACTGTAAGTCTGAACCCCTTCTAAGGGACCGGTCTTTCCTCCCGCGAGCCACCTTTTGACGGCCCTGGGGCCTAGCATAAGGGCTCCCAGAGGCGGCACAGGGCGAAACACCTCCCGCCGCGATTTTTCCCCACGACGCGAGGGGGCGCTTCGGGCGCGAGCTAGCATGGAACTCTGCACAGGAATGGGACCGCAAGAGCTCGACCACAAGAAACCTTCCGCAAGAAGCCCAACCCTGAGAAGCCCAACCCTGAGACACACAAATAAATAGACACAAATAACAGGACTCCCCATCTTTTCTCGTATTTTCTTTGCTTTTGTCTCCCTTCCCCTGCTTCCCATATTTTTCCATCTTTTCTGGGGAATCCACGATTAATTGTGCCTGTGTGTTTTTGTTCCCTCCTGATTGACTTTTTCTCCTCGGATTTAAGGAAGCCGAGCTCTATATGCACCGACGCCTTTTCTCCCGAGACTATTTTTCCTCCTGGGACTTTTCCTCCCGAGATCTCTCCTCCAGTGTTTCTTTTCTTTTTTTCCCTCCAGAGACTTTTTCCTCCTCGGATTTAATGGGCATGGAAAGAACGGGTACCATGCCCGACAACAAGTGCTGCCTCAAATCAACAGCGGCCGCTGCTGGGCAGGCGGCCTTCTGTCAAAAACGGACACACGCCGCGGCTGCGCGGACAGCGAGCCCTGTTCAAAATGGACAAGAACTGCTGCTGGGCATTGTACCCATTCTTTCCGTGCCCATCTCGGGCGTCCAGAGGATTGGCGCCTGCTGCGGCCCCCGAAGATCGACCCCCCGGGCCCGTGCTCGCGGAGCGCCGTCGTGTTCGTCGTCGTCGTCGTCGTCGTCGTCGTCGTCGTCGTCGTCGCCGTCGTCGTCGTCGCCGCCGCGGCGCGGGGGCGGGGCGCGGGAGCGCGGCGGCCCGGCCTGGCCCGCGCGCCGGCCCCGCAGTGGGCGAGCGCCAGCTCCTCGTCGTGCGCCTGGGCCGGAGGTGGGGAGGTGCCGATGCGTCATGCCGGGCAGCTTTTAACACATAGGATTTTTTTGAGTATCGGCTTCTTCATACATGGTTCATTTGTGAATAGATTTATGCATGAACTTATCGTTGTTTTTAAAACGAAGCCCCTGCATGTTTTAATACATGATCCGCACGCATCATACAGTCGGGGCCTTGACCTAAGGAACCCAAAATAAGGAACGAGGCCCCGTTTTTCCAAAAGTGAAACTCCGACTTCCGATCGAACACAGAAGGGAAACCTGAGGCAAGCTGCGAAACACTTAAGGAACGCGGAGCCTCTCCCCAACGAAAAGGGTTCCTTCTTCAGGGCCCCGACTGTACCGGGCAATCTTTAATACATATGATGTTTAAAACATATCGGAGTTTTCGTACATGATTAATTTGTGAATAGATTTATGCATGAACTCATCGTTGTTCTTAATACGACCCCCTGCATTTTTTTAATACATGATCCGCACGCGGAGCATGTATCAAAAACGGCACTGTATCCCCGTGGCCGTGATTAGTGGAGTTCCGTTTCATTGACGACTTCGCATATCATGCATTGACCAATGTAAGTTGGGGGAGAACATCCCAAAAAGCCACGGCAGCTAACAGAGGGTAAACCTTAACACCACGACATATAACTTCATGGTTTTACCATTGGGCCACCTCTTACCTTCGACCTTTGCCGTTGGGCAACGAATTACCTTTCACTTCTGCGATTGGGCAAGAAAACAAGACGGCACCCTCTCCGAACCGACCTCGACCTCACATCTCGGTCCGACTGTCGTGCTGCGTCCCGGATCGACGCTGAGGAGGAGGAGGAGGAGGAGGAGGAGGAGGAGATGGCCCTGAAACCCGAGGACGGCGTCCGAAGCCGAGCACCGAGGAGAGACACGCCCCGGCAGGCAGCGGCCAGACAGCAGAGGCCAGACCGGACGCACGCCCGGACCTTCCAGGAGGGCTGAAAAGTAGCACCAGGACGTCGACGTCCCAATTCCTGTCGAGGTTTGAGGCAATCCAGACAGATCGATAGGTCTGGCGCGTTACTTTTTAGCACTCTGGAAGGTCGGGGTGGTTGCAGTGGCGCGATCGGGCAGGCCGGGCCGCGTGCGCGCCAGGGGCCGTATCCTGCGTCCGGATCAGGCCTTACCGTGCGTCGTCCCCCCAAGGCACGGCCTCACCATGCGTCCGAATCAGTCTTCCACCACCTCCTCCTTCTCCTGTTCCTCCTCCTCCTCCTCCTCAACCTCCTCCTCCTTTTCCCTCTCCCTCTCCTCCTCCTCCTCCTCCTCCTCCTCCTCCTCCTCCTCCTCTTGCCTCTGCCTGGGCCGAGGGGGGAGGAGGTTGCCATCTCGCGCGCGTCGGCGCGGCCGCGCCTGCCAAGGGCATTGCATTCTGCTCTCGGCGTGGCCTGCCTGCCGAACCACACCAATCCAGCCCGAAAGCCCGAATCCCAGCAGCCCTCTGGGCGCAGGTGGCTCCACGAATCTTGTTCTCTCTCTCCCTCCTTCCCCTGCTCGGGGGAGGGGTTTACCCGTCCCCCTCCCCCCGCCACCTGGGCCTGGGATGGCTCACGACAGCCTCCGACAACCTGGGCCAAGGGGGGGAGGGGGCTCGACGTGGGCTGCCTGCAGTCAACCCGTACAGTAAGGACGCGCGATAAGGATGCACTGGCCTTGGAAGGCCATGCCGGCACTTTGCGAGCGGGGCGCGGCCAGCGAAAGCGGCCAAGGACGGGCCCAGGGGGAAGGATGCACGGGCAACCTTGGAAAGTCGATCATCCTTACTGTGCGGTTTGGCTCTGCCAAGCCACACCAACCCAACCCGAAGTCCCAACTTTCGGACCGAGGGACTTTTACGGGTTTCAGCTGTGCTTCGTTTCAATATTCTGGGATGCCCCCCCGATTGGGAATGGAGGGCAACTTGGGACCTTCGGGTTGGGTCGGGGTGGTTTGATGGGTAGCGAGGCGCGGGGAGGAGATCCCAGAATCGAATCGAAAATTGGACCGGCCATCAACATGTATCGGACCGGCTGAAACCGGCAGGCTAGCAGGGCCTACATTGAGACATCGGAGTCCACATCGGAATCTCAAGCCGACTCCAATGGGAATCGGAATCCGTCGGCATCGAATAGCATCGCATCGGAGCAGGTCAAGGAGGGGATGGGGGCTCGGCGTAGCGCACCGGCTCGCGGCGGCCCCTCCTGGCACGCCCGAGGTGCGGGTGTGGCAGAGGGTGGTCCTGGCCCACGGTGGCCTCAGCGTCTCCAGCGAGGCCACAGTGGCCTCCTCCTCCTCCTGCTCGCCCTCCTCCTCCTCCTGCTCGCCCTCCTCCTCCTCCTGCTCCTCGTCCTTCTTCTCCTCCTCTTCCTCCTCCTCCTCCTGCTCCTGCTCCTGCTCCTCCTCCTCCTCCTCCTCCTCCTGCCCCTTTCCTCCTCCTCCTCCTCCTCCTCCTCCTCCTGCTCCTCCTCCTTCTCCTCCTCCTCCTCCTCCTCCTCCTGCTCTTCCTCCTTCTCCTCCTCCTCTTCCTCCTCCTCTTCCTCCTCCTCCCCCTGCTTCTCCTCCTCCTTCTCCTCCTCCTCCCCCGTCTCAATCGTTCAAGGATAAGGCGACGATCCTTCGAGAGATGACGGGGCTGGCACTCACTCGCAAGAGACACCACGCGCTGGGTGGTGCATGCAGCGCAGTGAATGCAACAAAAAACCTGGGTTTCGCCCACAAACAAAGAGGCCACCCGATGATGCTTGGACCCAGCGGCCTTCAGAGAGACCTGAGCCTGCTGGATCCTTTGCTCTAAGGTGGGCGGCTCTGGCTTGACAATGATTAGGGAGGGGGCTGAACGAGCAGAGCGCTGACGGTGCAGACAGTCGACGGACGCAATGGCCTCACCCGCCCTGGCGGCCCATTTCCCCGTAAGACTGACCATCTTCTTCTGCATCAAAGTAAGCTTCTGAAACTGGGGATCGGGCCGCAGGGCACGAGCACGACTGTTCGCAGCACCGTCGGCGGCATCATTTCCAAGTTTGCCCCGAAGCTTATACCTCCCTTCCGCTATCATAGTGTCTGTCACATGGGCTTTCACTTTCTTGACCTCAGGGGGGGTACCCCCCCAATCATCAACTTTGTGCCACACACGCTTCCACAGACAGGCCCAAGCCGCCGACGCCGACGTGGTGTCAGCTGGGCCGCGGATGTTGTAACCTTTCCAAACAAAATCAGAATCCGTGTGCACGACAACAGGTGGCACCGCGAACCTGAGCACTGCGAGCAGGGCATAAAGTTCAGCACCGTCTATGTCCTGCAGCGGGTAGGGCAGGAGACCTGTGATGGTGCAGACAGCCGTGTCACTGTCGGCAGCCAGCGCGACGACTGCCCATGCAGCAATCCCGCGATGTGGGTAATCAGTAAACAATGACCCATCAAGAAACAGATCCCCTGTAAGCAGTTGCGCATCCCCGTGCCATTCCACACAAGGCTCCAACGGCGTCTGCAACACAGCCTGAGGGGCCTTGGGGAGCGGGACAAGCACCCGCTCCAGCATCAGGCGCACCAGGTCATTCTGGTCCGCATGCGGGAGCATGAGTCTGATTGCGTCAGGGAGTGGCTCTCCTATTGCCTCGAGCATGCTCTTACACACAGCGTGCCGGTGCACGAGGGACCCAGGGGCCTCAAGGCATGCAAGGCAACTCGGGGAGTCAATCCAACCTTGTTGAAATTGCCGATCTTGGGGCCACTGAGCTCCAATGATAGCACTCCTGAGGTAACCGCGCTGCTGCCAAGTGAGGTTCCCCTTGGCGCTTAGGAGGTACTTCAGAGGCCCATCCCAGAAACCAGCACGAAATTCAGGCATCTGAAGGTGCTCCGAAATCTGCAGGTTGACCCAGTGGCGCACCGCGTGCGCACAACAGTGCAGGAGGACCCTGGGGCAAATGTCCATGAGTTTCAGCTCCAGACCATCAGGCAGCTTCCAGACCAGGGGCTCGACGACGACGATCCCGACTCTGGTGAGCGTAGCATAAAGGGCTCCCAAGGGGCCCCGAACCTGCGGCCACATTTGGTCCTTCCCAGACAACGCCAATCTAGCAGCCTCAAGGCCATGCTCTAAGACATGACATGGCACACACGACGCCCAAAGAACAGAGCTAAACGCTTTGATAGGCTCAAGAGTAGCCCTCCAGATCGGGTCGTAGTTGGCCTGCGGCGCGAGCGCGAGAGCGAGAGTGCGGCTCTTGCCGCTGGTCTTGGCGTCGAGCGCCGCAGCGGCCTGGGAACGCAACACGTCCAGCTCCTTTGAGGCAGTACCCTGAACAGAGGTCCCAAAGGCAACCGAAGTCTCCAAAGCCGCCCTGGCCATGATGGCCATGGTTTTTCGCCTGGCCATACCTCCCTGGAGATGTTTCATTCTCTTGAGCTTGGGTTTGGCGACCTTAATTCTGCCCGTCCTGGTGGTCCTCCTGAGAAACCGTCCAGAACTGTAGTCAACCCCCAGGTTGCGCTCGTGGTTCACGCCCTGGGCCCTAAGCGATACTAGCCTCCTGGACAGCTGGTCACGTAAATCAGAGTCACTAGCAAGAACACGCGTCTTGTCAAGAGCAAGCCGTAGATCCACACGCTGAAGCTCGCGCTGAAGCTTCACTCCAGCACCAGCTACATCAGCAACGACACGGCCGTGTTCCCCCGATCTCTGCAAAGCAAAATCGTCGACTACCACGGAAAGACAGATGGCCCGAAACTCCTTTTGAACAATATCCAGGGGGCCCAGCAGCACAAGTTGCAGCAAAACTGTGGCAAAACCACACCCAGGGATAATGGTAGTTTCCGCCGTGATGTGATTACTAACAGTCCCTTGGAGATCAAGCAGGCGGGGCGACCGATAGACTTGCACAAGCAAACGCAGCTGCCACAACGGAAATCCAGTGCGAGCGGCAGCCTGGACAAGATGATGATGCTTGACCAGTTCAAACGCTTTCTTTAAATC